AGGGGGCACCGAGGGGTCGCCTAAGACACCGGGAAGGCGGCGCCGCGCGTGGGGACAACTTCGCCCCGGGCGCGCAGCCCCCGGCCGGGCTCGCGGTGGTTCCTCCCGTCCCTCGGCCTCCCCCGCCGATCGCGACGCGGACCTTGGTCCCGGCGCCTCCGCGGCGGTGACACGAGCCCGCCTCAGCCGCCGCCTCAGTCTCCTGCCGCGCCGCCACCTTGCCCGCACCATGGAGTTCTCGGAGAGGAAAAGAAGCAGGAAATCCCAGAGCTTCAAACTGGTGAGCCGAGGTAAGCTGCCGGCCCGGGGACAGGGGCGGGAAGCCGGCGCCGCGCTCCGCGCACTCGGCCCCGCGCGTCCCGGCCGCCCGCGGGCTCCACGCCGGGGGCGCGCCCGCCCCGACCCCCTCGTCCCCGCCCGAACCCGGGGCCCCCGCGGGCCGTACACGCCCCGCCGCGGGGAAAGTTGTGCCTGAGGGGGAACCCACCGGGTGTTATTGAAGGTAAACAAGTCGGAGGGCACGTCAGGAAATTAGCAAACAATGACACCGGGGAGCCGAGCCCGCTCGGGGGTGCCGCCGCCACGGCAGCCGCCGCTGGGCTGGGGTGGCTGAGGGTTTGCCTGGCCGGCAGGCCGAGAATGGACTGGGATTTATTTTTGTTTTCGTTTTTTTCCCCCCCCACGCAAAGAGAAGGAGGGGAGAAAAAGATGATCATTGTTCTTTTCAAGAAGAATCAGCTCATTAGTGAATCGAAGCTCAAGGCAGAAATTGTTGACATACAGCATCTTTTCCAGTTGAGTGATTTGGGTGGAAAGGTAGTTTTAAGACTAGCTCATATACCAGCTAGACAAGTGTCATCACAAGAAAGAAAGAAAGAAAAATCCAGTTAGGTCCTGCCGACTAACAGGTGTACAGCACACTCTTTATAGGCGTTTATTTTGTCCAGGGAGGAGAAAGTTGAATAGTGACTCCTCTGGCTTCTGTTTCTTGTTCGAGTCCATCTTCCTGATTTGAGTCTTTTTTAAAAAAAAATGATGCCACTTCTAGACAAGGAACACACCTGTCAAAATGTCAAGTATCACCTTAATAAAGGAGAAGAGTGATACCTCCTCTCCCCATCCCACACCCAGTGGTAATGGTACAAGTCCTAATAAGAGCCCACCCTCTTTAAATATCTTTGAATCAACTTGGGTCAAAGCCAAATCAGAGAAGCTGTCCACTTTCCCTGGGTGATTTTTATCTAGCATTAGCATCTGAGGAAGGAGCCACAGGACTATTCCGGGGGGGGCCGCCCCCCCCCGGCCCCGTCAGAAGTCACGTGTAAACAGGTGACTCTTGGAGGGTGATTGCAACGGATGGAGTTTTTCCCAAACTCAGCTAAGCTGAAATGAGGATTTTTATAAAGCTCACTTTTGGATAGTCTGGAAATGGTTTAATTATAGACATTTTTGCGAATCTGCTCATCTGTGTTTCCCCTAATTTAGTTTTGTACTGTTTAACGATAGAGGCCTGAAATAGTGTAGTGCATGCATTCAAAATATTTGGCTACTCTTTCTTGGTATCCACCTCCCCAACAAGGCTGTTGCCTCGAGTTTTGTACTGTGGAAGTCTCACCATGTGTGATGACCCTGTGGAATAATGTGCTCCATTCAGGATGGAGGCTGCTTTCTTACTTAGGGCCCCAGGGAACTTACTACTCTGTCTTAAAAGAGAGGGTAGTTTTGTCATATTGTCCTGTGACAGCTAAGGCAAACAACAAACAAGCCCACCAAAACCTTGAATAGTTGTTGAGAAGGGACCTCTATATTCAAGGGTCCTGCTTTGTAGAGACCTACGTTACCAAAATGCTGCAGCTTCCACAGGAGATTGTAAGATGTTGTATTTGAAAATTTGATTAACATAGCAAGTTTTTCCTTTTCTTTTCTTTTTTATGGTAAGTGATTCTGCTGTGCAGGTGCTTTTCAATTTTTTTTTTTTTGGAAGATAAACTATTGCATGTTCAGTAAGGGCAGTAGTTGAATGTAAAAGATTCACTTATGTGAAAGGTAAAAGTCTTGCTTCTTTTCTAAGTATACTTTTTTAAAAATAACACATCAATATATATTTTTAAAAAATATGTGCCTACTTTAAAGCTGAGATTTTCTGGGTAAACTGAGTAAAGAGACAGTTCAGAAGCATACTATTGACATGCTCACAAAAGTGGGTTGTGGAAATAAATTTGGGAAACTCCTTTAGCCTGTGATTTGGCAAGATTTTCCTTTTTTCTTTCTTTCTCTCTCTCTTTCTTTCTTTCTTTTTTACAAATATACTTGCTGTGTCTAAGAACAGAAACCTGATTAATTGATATCTGAGGGTAAAATTTACTACGAAAACTGTAGCTAAGCATAGCTGTTCTATAAAGGCAAAGTAACATTTCAAGTTCCAGTACTTCACAGTAAGCAAAGTTTTGGTGATTACTATTGACTGCAATTTCTGTGAGAGTTCTTGAAGATATACCTGTAAATTATACATATGGAGATGGGAGCCTTTAATTGCTTATTCCTATTTGTTGAAGTCATTAAAATTCTAATGTTCAGTTATTTTCTCATGCCAGATTATCACCATGAGGTGTATAAAATCTCAGAATTCAGCAACGATGTTAATGGGGAGACCAAAGAGACACAACCCATTTTCCTAGGTAGGTTCTTATGTCAATTAATTTCTCAGCAAAACAGCATGGTGTGGCCATTTGCAATTTCAGGGGCAGGGTGGTACAGGGAGAGACCGTGGGAGAACGGGAAATGTCTGCCATTGCTTAATGCATGACATTCTTTTCAAGACCTTTTATTTTACAGATTGCCAATATATCCCTTATTAACATTGCTAAAAGTTGTAATTTCAGACATAAATGTTTATTAGTGTCTGCACACAGTGCTAATTATCACTCAGTCACGGAGCCAGATGCTGACTGCGCAGTTTCGCCACTCGTCGCTCACCCCATTTACATTGCATATTCGCTGGCATGCTTCACTGGCAATAGTTTGTGTAATTGGGGTATTACATCTTTGACATCTGGATAACAGAAATTCAATTTCCAGGAAGCTGCTATTTGTTTGGTTTTGCTTCTGCCTTGGGTGGGATACAGGATGGATGTGCTGTCTTATTATAATGTCCTTTCACCTCTGTGGCCTGGTTGCTAATCCTGCCATGACACAATTAAATTAAATCTATAGTCCAAACAGTGTAAGGAGAATAAAAGTGTGATTGCCTGCCTTGCCACCTCTTGATAGTGTCTCTTACTACTCAACAGCTTTGCACTTCCTGGCTGCGTCTTTCTCACTAACATTTGTGGTCAGAGAGAAAAGATGGCTTTCTCCTGTCACCACCCTTCCTGGCTTACCTCAGGGACAGAGGGAGGAAAGGCAGCATCCTCTAAACTTTCTGATAAGTGTACCCTGTTTGCCTGTGCACGTATAGCTTGAGCATGAGGCGTGTACACGGAGCATCTTATATATACAGTTTGTTATCTGCAGCCTTTGAGCCAAAAATTAAACTGTCTAAGCTGCTTCCTCTAAAAGTGTTTATCAAAGCCAAGTGCAAGGTATATGGTGACACTTAGCTTCAACTTTGCCCATCCTGAACTCTCTATAACCTCAGGTAGTAGGGTGAGGTCCAGGTACTGCAGAACCAGGAAGGAGAGCCTGTGGGAAATCAGGGTAAGTGTTTAAGAGCAAGGGCCAGAACTACTCAGTGACTGGATATCTGTGCTTGGATTGCTGCTTAGATCCATATCGGTACTTTTGTTTTGGCTTGGCTTGTTTCAGATTGAAACATTGTAACGACTGTATTTTTGCCCAAGATCTTTCTCTGTTTTAGTTTAAGAAAGAAAAGGGGTGCAAAAGCTTGCAAAGGGCCAGGCAAAAGTCACACTTACAAAGGTGAAATAGAGAGACATGAGCCATTCCTACCACTCATGCTCACAAAATGATCATCACAGGCACTTAGGTCTTTCCAGTAAGGCAGGGAACAGTCTCAAGACCAGTACCACTCCCAGCACCTGCTGACTATTAGGAACACTGAACACCAAAATCAAGTGAGATGCTATGGCCCAGAAAGAGACTCATCTCAGATTAGACTCCTATGCTCCTGGATGAGATGAGTTCATTAAGTACCACTTGAAGCCATCTGAGAAAATGAATTTGTCTTCTAGTAGAAAATTTACATTTCTCATGCAAGTGGAACATCATGTCCTGGATTTAGTTCTCGTCCAGCAAAGGTCTCCTGGCTGCTCCTTCCTATTAGTTGCTTGGAAAAATAGTAGCAATGTTAGTAACAAATTGTGAGGCTGAAAGAAAGGATGAAGATCAGGATGATGCTAGTACTTGGAATTCAGTAACTGCAAGCTCATGGACCTGGCGAATGTTCTTTTTTCCTTCTTTGAATTGAAGATACAGGAACATCATTAAGGAACCAGGCATTGAGTCCATCTTGACAATGGTTTGTAGAAAATCCTTTGACAAACAGTTCAGAGGTTGAGGAAGTACCTGTTCTGGGGAAGACCAGATCTAGTTCCCAAAGATCCTCTAGGCCAATTAAAAAGAAGTGGAGATGATTTGGAAACAGAATTTCATAGAACAGGAAATAGTTACAGATGATATACAAAATTAAGAGCTTTGTTGTTGACAGTTTGTGTTACTCTTCTTAAAACATAGATTTATGTCAGGCTTATTTTGTAAATTGCTAAGACCTATTCATTCCTAGGATATGGATCTAGAAGATTTTGATACTTAAATACTTGAAAGTTGTAAAAAGTATCAGCACATAGCTTCTGTGACTTTACATAGGATGTTCTGTAGTCAGGATTTGTGTTCTCTGCAACATTCTACATCTAGAAGATTCGTGTGTCTCAGGTGAATAGAGAGTACCCTAGAATTTGGCAGAACTTCCCACATCAAATCTCTTTCTTTGGACTATTTTTAGGCTGCTAACTAATATAACATATCTGGAGAGGTAAAGTAGCTCCCTAGAATGGTAGCTTGTGTAAGTGCTTTGGGAGTTGCTCACATGTTTTTGATTTGATTAAGGGTTAGAAGAGGTAACTTTACCCTGTGGACTTTGACTTTCTCAACCCAGTTCTTTGAAACTACAGTAAAGATTTGAGCACTGTTTGAAGGGAGACTATCTGTTTAGTCAACTCAACAAGTGTTTCTGTGAAGAAATATTGTGAGCTGAGCCCCTTTCTGGAATGTGCATGGGATCAGAAATGGATGGGACAGGGACCCTGCTCTGAGGACTAAAGTCCTTTGTGAGGGTGGGGGCGGTGTGGATAAGACAATTCTGGAAGAAAGGTGCGATATGCAGCAGTCACAACAGTGGACGTGTAAGCAAGGCTCTCTATGTGAATGTTCAGATTTACTCCCCGGAGTAGTACATCCATACCAGCGTTGTCATCTTCATTTTAGATAAGGCTTAGAGATGTTGCGAAGATACCAAAGGTCACTTACTCCTTAGGACTTAACATAAGAGGAATCCTAGGGCAAGTTCTGCCTGAGCTTTAAACATGCCACTGTGTTGTCTTCTGCCTGAACAGTAATTAAATGGCTGTTGGAAAGGAACAGGGAAAGGCTCCACTGCTAGTTGCAAAGGTAGGGTGGGGAGCTAGACCTTGAACTACTGAGATTTGCATAGACAGAAGATTCCTGGTGGGAAGGGAGGTACTGGCTAACACAGACTGATAAGCAGATGAGCATGTCTACAATTAGATCGTAAGTGAGGGTTGCACTTTAGAGAGTATTCTCCTGCTATCTGGGAGTCCTTCTATGATCAGGACAGTTGTTATTACTCCCAAAATAATGAGACCTAAACCTCAGAGTAAAAAGATGTACTTCTAGTAACAGAACCTAACTCCTAACTTCTCTACGCAGCCAAGGATTATTGAGGCTTTAGCCAGAAGACACTTTTTAATGAGGCAATGCGTTCTTTGTAATGGTGATACCAATATTAAATGAAGTCCCTTTTTGTACTTTAGCTTTTAGTTCAGCTTTACTTTTGTAGGATATAAATCTGAGGCGTATTTCTTTGTCAGGTGTTCAAGTCTCATTAATTTATTCATTTAACAAATATTTATCGAGCTCTAGTTGCTTGTGTGCCAACCCCTGTGTGTGTTGGTCTTTTTCATATTTAGTTCAGTAAGCAGCACAGCTTTTAGCAGATGGAGTACATGGTTCAGTGGTGATGCCATTTGATTGGGGTCCAGATCTCCGAATCTTGTAATCTCTTTCTTGATAAGAACTACCCCTATCAAGGGCTCCAGAATCTCCCTCAAGAGAACACACGTCCCTGACCACAATGCTGTGCTCCTCTTTGGAGAGCTGTGGTGGCCACTCTTCACCTAGGGATTAAACATCTGGGTCCCACCTCAGTTCTTAGGTGCCCCCTAAAAGTACTGCCAGGGGAAGGAAGGAAGCCTTCCTTTCCTGATGTTTCATCATTTATCATGGCAGGGGTGGTGTGCAACCTCAGGGTCAAGGGGAATGGAAAAGGGCAGAACCCTTATATCCCAGCCTCTGTGATCCAAACTGCATGCATTCTCCTTAGCAGAAGCTTCATGCACAGCACCACAGCCACTTAATGTACCTACCCTTTCTGTGCCAGTGCAGCTTTTCCTTGATGGCACAGTGAGGAGACAACTCTGTGAACTAAGAATATGGCAAACATAGGTAGCGTTTATCAAAAGTCAGGTGCAGTGTAACACTAAGAACTATGTATGTTATTCCATTCATTGCCCTAATAAAAAGCACTGTTGTTTGTATTCTGTAGGGGAATTTTGGAGTTTACAGAGATGCTCAGTTGCTCAGAACTAGGCTGTAAACCAGTGTGTCTTCCCACAAATCCTACCCTTGACCATGGGCTATGCTTAATTCTGATGCACTCCTCTGCAGGGCCCCTGTCATGAACTACTGATAAAAGGAGAGCAAAGCTGCTCCCAGAAGGGTGAAGGAGACTCAGAGAACCTCACATGCCCCCTACAGTGCTGTGAACTTCTAGCTAATTAGAGTTCTATAGTCATTGTTTGGTAAACATTGAACTCCATGATTTTTAAGATTGCAGTCAGCACCAAAATGCGTGATTATACTCAAGCCCCCAGCCCCCAAAGACTTCAGAAATGTTGCAGTCTGCTTCACTATTAGAAAGTCTCCTGGGTACATTAGATACATTGTAGCTTCGGATGCAAAGTTGGTCATTCTTAAGCTGCTACTGTCTACCGAGAGGCAGGGGCCAATTACAGCTAGCCTCGTCCAACCCCTTTCATTAGTCACATAGTTACTGCTAAACTAGGAAATAGACCTTGGTCTTCTTCCTACTTTACAAATGTGAGACTTATCTCGGAGATAGAAGTGACTTGCATAAGGCCGCACAGTACTTAGCAGTTGACCACACTTAAATTCAGGTATCTTGACACCCTGCTCTGAGATCTCTTTGCCATGGCAGGACTGTCTTTAATCCTTTCCTCACATGTTGCTCATGTGAGCTGATCTGACTGAGTGACTTCTCTGCAGAGACTATAGGATCAAGTTTGTCTCTCTTAACTGAGAATTCAGCATCCATAGTTTGTCCAATCTTGCCAGCAGCTCCCTGCTTCCAAGTGCCTGTTCCCCAGCAAATGGTACTTCTCTAGATGGTGATAGGCAGCCCAGG